GGGCTGAGAAGGGAGAAGGGAAGGAGCTGGGAAGAAACAAGGGCTCTCACGGTGACCAGCGCTGCCCTGTGCGCGTCCCTCGCTGCCACAGCCCACCTCTCCCAGGAGAACGCCCCACTGACCTCAAAAGAGAATGAATGGAAAACGTCTTCTTCAGACCTTCCCTCTCGGTGTCACAAAATGAAGGAAAAAGAAAAAAAAGAAAAAGAAAAGAGGTCATGATAAAACCTTGATACTAAAGCTTCTCAAATAACTCAGTACATTTTTCAGTAGCTTGACCAGCCTGAGAGATGTAACCAGAGGATTCCAAACCTCCCTCCTAGAGTCTGAAATCCAGAGAGGGATACATGGGGAAAGAGGAGATCTTAGTGAGACCCTCCAGGGAGAGCAGGAGGGGAACCTGCATTCACACCATCAACCATTTTCTCACCAGACGTGTCAATAAGAATACCAGGTAACAATTTTATTCACAAATAACAAAAAAAAGGTCTTACAAAACTAGTTATGTAAGAAAACCAACATTTACAAATTTATCAATTCCAGTATGCAAAATAGTCATGACGAGGCCTAAATTGATGCAAGCTGACTGCCTCAAAGCAATGATGGATATTTTTTCCTTTTCTATTTTTTTTTTTTTTTTACTAGCACAGACAATAGTGCTTAACCTAGGTAACAGCAACATTAACACTTTATCTAAAGTAGAAAAATCTACATTTGAAAAATACATTCCATACACACAAGATTAGAAAACCCCATGCCTTTATGTGCCTGTTCTCCAGCCCTGATCTCACCCTTGTCAGTGGGCTTCTGCAGTGCCGGAAGTCTCAAGCACCTGCACTCGCAGCCCTGTTATTAGCCGATGGCGATTCCTGGCATCAGCACCCTAGCAGCTGAGTTTATCTGAGTTCTGCAGGACATTGATATGAAATGCCAGCTGGATTGTCCTATACAGCATTTACAAGGAGTGCAGACTATAACATCATTGTATGTTTCCATAGCACGTGGTAATAAACTGTCTTCCTCTGGGTAAAAATAACCCAGGATCGGGACTTCCCTGGCGGTCCAGTGGTTACGACTTGGCCTTACAATTCAGGACGTGCGGGTTCGATCCCTGGTCAGGGAGCTAAGATCCCACATGCCCTGGGGTCAAAAAAACCCAAAACATAAAACAGAAGCAATATTGTAACAAATTCAATTAAGACTTTAAAAATGGTCCACAACAAAATAACCCAGGATTTTTCAAATGCAGTATCAAATGAAATCAATTTTTTAACCCTAAGTATTTCTCTATTGATCAAAAGTGATGTTTCAGGATTTGTGGCCAAAGTCTCATTTCCCATCAATCTTAGCTTTCTCCTGCAAGGGTTTTTGCCTTTGAAGTTAAAGAGGGCTCTACATGTGGAAAATATACTCAGGTTACAAAAAGGAGCACAACCCTGGCCTACTTTGATCACCCCTCTGTCATCACAAAAGTGATCAGATTACAAACTACATACGGCACACATGTGACTTACGGTGAAACTTGCATTTTCGTGGACCTCTTGTGATCAGGTCCTAAATACTTTACGTATATTTCCTAAGGGCAAGTCTCAGAAGAGTTGGTGAGTACCAGAGCTTAGGAACCATTGGTTTAGGCTAAAAAAGGAAGAGAAAAAAGAAAGTCAATCAACTATGACTGGACACCAGGTAGACAGGAAAGGCTGTGCATTACCACGAGACCCTCTAATTTCCCATTTCAGTCAAAGGAACGGAGGTCACGTGCACGACATACCGTGAGCTCATGTCCGCACAGGGATCCTGAGCTGCAGATGGAGGGACAGTCCCAGCACGAGGGAAAGGCCTCGTGAGAGCTCACTACTGCAGGAGAGCAAAGCACGGGTCAATAAGAGGGAAGATAAAAATGTCCTCGGGAAAGGCAGATTTCTAATGCTCACTTTAAACTTTTTTTTTTTTTTGGCTGCATCGTGCAGCTTGCGGGATCTAAATTCCCTGAACAGGGATGGAACCCAGGCCCTCGGCAGTGAAAGTGCTGAAGCCTAGCCACTGGGATGCCCAGGAATACCCTCTAATGCTCACTTTAAACTTTTTTTTTTTTGGCTGCATCGTGCAGCTTGCGGGATCTAAATTCCCTGAACAGGGATGGAACCCAGGCCCTCGGCAGTGAAAGTGCTGAAGCCTAGCCACTGGGATGCCCAGGAATACCCTCTAATGCTCACTTTAAACTTTTTTTTTTTTGGCTGCATCGTGCAGCTTGCGGGATCTAAATTCCCTGAACAGGGATGGAACCCAGGCCCTCGGCAGTGAAAGTGCTGAAGCCTAGCCACTGGGATGCCCAGGAATACCCTCTAATGCTCACTTTAAACTTTTTTTTTTTTTTTTTTTTTTTGGCTGCATCGTGCAGCTTGCGGGATCTTAATTCCCTGACCAGGGATTGAACCCAGGCCCTCGGCAGTGAAAGTGCTGAATCCTAACCACTGGACTGCCCAGGAATACCCTCTAATGCTCACTTTAAATGTCAGGTAGAAAACTGATTTGGAAACAAAATATCTCAGCATTCTCTAACACAGGGATGTTCAAAGGTCTATTTCTTTTTTAAGTGCAAATGGGACAGAGCTAATAGTAATCACTTAAAAGACAACAGCCAGAGCTGATCACCTACGTTCAAGCAGGAAAAAAATAAATTCTGCTCAAGTAATTCCTCTCCAGGGTGCAGAAATGAGCAAACGAGCCATCCCCTGGTTCATGACTGAGCTGGGTTATTTCTGTCTCAGCTCTAGAGCTAACTCTAGTAGGTAAATACCAAGGTGGTAGGGGATGGATCGCCTTCATAGAAGCACCAGACTCTTAAATCCAGCGTCGTTGGGCTACGGTGGGAATTACTGCGCTGAAGAGGCTTAGGAGATTGGTGGGACCCCTATGATATCCTGGTCAAACTACACGATGGCAGTTATAATCCATTCACCTAAACGCTGCCTACAAGCTGTGCTTTTTCTTCTGGTCCTAATATGCAGAGTCTCCTAAGACTACTCACCTGGTGGCATGCTTCAGTAGTAGGGAAACCTGATATGTTGTCATTTCTAAAGCCTTTAGTATAAAATATGATGCAAATAAAAGATCAATATAAATACCGATTCTCTATAAAAGAGAAATTCTGGGTCTTTTAAGCTCAGTCCCAGGGACAGAAGTAAGAAATGCTTCCATATCAATGGATTTTCACATAAATCTGCTAATCTAGGATGCGCACGCTAAGGGGTTTTTAACTCAGAGGGATGGGCAGTCCTTTCCCAAACACATGTCCTAACTCAGGCCCCTCTTGTTAACTAATTCAGCCGCTGTTCACAAGACAGTGGCTGAGGCGAGAAAGCGTCAATTCTGCAAGATTTGGTCTCTTCTGATTCCCAGTTAGGACAGTTAACATCATCTAATAAACCCAAGATTCAGGCAGGCCATGTGAAGTCAATTCTAACCTCCTGTGCTAATTATTTAGAAGATGAAAAAGTGACCTTCAGGAAACAAAAACACTCCCTTTTGAACCCATCCTACCTAAAAAGTAAGGTAACTCATCTGACGTTGACTTTTAGTAGGATATATGAAATTATTTCTGGAAAGAAAATGTAAATGAAGATTTATACTCTGGGTCCTCAGTCTTGGCAAACCACCTCCACCATGAAAAGAAGCATGAATGCACTTCTGTTTCTCGTTATACCCCTAAGCTCGGTGGCTGCAAACTTGGCCCGTCAGTCTCTGAAGTCGGCCTGTAGCATAGAAGCTTCTTGTGTAGGAAAGATGCAAAGTCTCAGAAGTGCTTGGAGTGTATTCCTTGAGGTCTCAGCTTACAGCTGGTCTGGCTCAGAAGCAACTGGTTGAAAGGCTTAAAATGCCATCAGTGTGGTTCAGATTTACTTTCTTCCCCCAGAAGCCACGTGAGGTCCAGACGGTGCTGAGTCCATAAGCAGAGGAGTGGCTGCCCCTTGGGCTCCATATGACACTTCATTGCAGAAAGAAGCAAGTCCTTTCGGCCTCCTGAAACGGTGACAGAAGGACAGCTTTGAACACAGCACCTGACAAATTAAAGCCCTAAACTGTGACTGTAAAAATTTATGGTGCTTAGCTTTTACTAATTGTGCACATGAATTTTATAATATATGGACAAGAAGTTCCTGTAAGGGTGCCGCAATATCAGGTACCCATGTACTCTGAGAATAAAAATAAAGATTTCCTAACAACCCCCAGTCACTCCATATGTGCAAACAGTCCTTAAAAGATGAAAATGTGCCCCAAACAAACTATGTCAATGAGCAATTCTTTTGCTGATTTTCAACCTCAGTCAAACATTTAAAGCTTGTTTCTGTGCTGCACTCCTTTAAAGCAACTGTAGGTAAAGATTTTAGGATTCTTTAGTCTATTCTTTAAAAGAACAAAGATGGTTAATAATTAATGCTATTCTTAGTCTTTGAATTTAAAACTTCTGTGAAGCCACTGGAGAAAGTTTAGAAAGAGTCTGGGAATGAGACTTCTCTTATAATGACCTCCCTGGAATACTCACACATACGTCACAGGGCAAACGTCCTCGGGATAGAGCAGCCTTTAGATCTGTCCCTTATCACAAAAGCACAGTGACCTCACTTTGGGAGGGGCTGAGGCTTGGGTCACCTGCGTGTTATTGTACGTGAGTGAAACCTTCATTCGCGCAGTAACCCTTCATTAACTTATCACTAAATTTGGCATTAGTGACATATCAGACACATTTACAGAAAAAATTTTTTTCAAAGGTCTAAGGAGATTGTCTAGAAATAGAAACTTCTGAGGTTCTCTCAATAATAAGATAGTTTTATCAAATATGTTGATCAACTGATATGATAATAACAACCATATTAATGCTACCAGGGAGGAAAATTATACTTAATTGGCCAATCAATAAGGAAAAAATAGAGATGTTGATAGACTGAGAAACTAGAACCCAGGTCATCTCATATCTTTTCTAGCATTCCTTCCATTATGTCAATGTTGACATTTAAAATGTTGATTAATAAACACCACCAAAGAAAGCTTTTCCTGTTGTTAAACAGGCTGGCTTCATTCTCCCAAATATCTTAGCAAGTGCTGTCTCAGTATCTTAGACCTGGTTCCCTTCTGGGGAGGTGTGTTCAGGGAACATTTGATTAAAATGGAATCATACAGACTAAAGACAGCTCTCACTCCTATTTGCTTTATCCTGAACCATATCATTATCAGACTCTGGGTGGCATTAAACTACCCACAGGAAGACTACCGTGTAAAAATAAATTTTCGGAAACAAATGCATCACACATTAGAAATCTGAGCCTCACACCAAATACAGACAAAAGTCCCTTGGTGCACTTGGCAATAAATCGAATCATCACACTGTATACCTTTAACTTACGCTATGTTATATGTCAGTTACATCTCCATAAAGCTGGGGAAAAAAGAGTGAATGGAGGTTAAAATACAAGTGAATGAAACTTGTATTCAAGTGAAGTAGAGGTTAAAGTACAAGTGAGTGCCTGGGTAGGAATTTAAAGTTTCATTGAAAATAAAATAGAAATAAATTGTTTAAAAAGGGGTGGGGCTATTTTGGCAACAGCTGCCCTCATCCACCCCCCAAACGGAAAACAGTGCCCTCCTGAGTTAGGAGTGAGCCCACATCAGGGACCAAGCTCACTGCACTTGAACTTGAGGAGCCCGGAGTCCTGCCCTCTGGTCCATTAATAGAAAGCTTCCGAAATCAAATTCTTTGCAAGAGGTAAGTTCAGTAACTACAACTAAGAGAAGTGTTTTTCAGGGTTTAGAAAAGATTCTCGCTTAAAATGGGCTCAAAATATTATTTGCTTTTTTTTTTTTTTTTTTTTTTGCGGTACGCAGGCCTCTCACTGTTGTGGCCTGTCCCGTTGCGGTGCACAGGCCCCGGACGCGCAGGCTCAGCGGCCATGGCTCACGGGCCCAGCCGCTCCGCGGCATGTGGGATCTTCCCGGACCGGGGCACGAACCCGTGTCCCCTGCGTCGGCAGGAGGACTCTCAACCACTGCGCCACCAGGGAAGCCCTGCTGTTTTTATTTATATGGAGAAAATGGAAATGATTTACATTTTGACAATCCCTTTCCTGAATTCAGGATGTCTTATTTAGATTTGCCGAAATTATCTAATAGTTATAAGACAACACATCTTGGAAAGCCTATAAAAACCTTTCATTAATAAATTACACGGAGTGGGGCTTCCCTGGTGGCGCAGTGGTTGAGAATCCGCCTGCCAATGCAGGAGACACGGGTTCGAGCCCTGGTCCGGGAAGATCCCACATGTCGCGGAGCAACTAAGCCGGTGCGCGACAACTCCTGAGCCTGCGCTCTAGAGCCCACGAGCCACAACTACTGAGCCCGCGTGCCACAACTACTGAAGCCCGCATGCCTAGAGCCGGTGCTCCAGAGCAAGAGAAGGCACCGCAATGAGAAGCCCGCGCACTGCAAGGAAGAGTAGCCCCGCTCACCGCAACCAGAGAAAGCCTGCGTGCAACAACGAAGACCCAACGCAGCCAAAAATAAATAAATAAAATAAATAAATTTATAAAAAAAATATTTGGTGATGTCCTTAGCCACTGAGAACTACCTCAAAAATAAGTAAATAAATTACATGGAGCAACGTGAATGTAACATTTCCTCATTCATCTTATATGTGATTATAACTTTCCATCAGACTTTGAGTCGAAGGTATCTTTATGTAATCATAATTACCTTGACAACTCTCTTTGAAAAGAATTCATGTCATGATGCACCAACCTTACATACTAAACTACGTTTCTACAATTTTGCATCCATGTAGCTGGGACAAAAGGGCTCATCCACCCTACCTCCACCTCCTCAATAACACAGACAGGAGAAAGGGCAGGCTGAGTTGCTTCTGACACGACTTGGCTTCGGGATGCTTTATTCCTTAGTTTTAGAATTTACACCACAAAATTGGGGACAAGCTACAAAATTAAGACGAGCAGTAATTCTATTTACTGGCAATACTCGGAAGAACTGTAGCTAGTGCGATGGTAGCACCGTCACTGCAGCCACTCAGACTTTCTTCTGACAGTACATACACGAGAAGGTGAAACATAATTCGTGAAGGGAACACAGGCAAGTTTATCATCAGAACCAAGTGACTTGACGGAAAAGAAACTTCAGCATTTTGTAATGAAGATGTGACTCAGATTAAATATTAAGTGTCCTAAGATGTTCATCTTAGAGCGCGTGGCAAGGCTTCCGATTGGGATGTTGGGATTAGCTGCCAAAGGGCCCCGTAACCTGTCTTCTGCGTCCTCCTCTCACCCGTTCTCGGGGCTTGTTAGCTGCTCTGGGCTGCTGGGGGTTCTCTGTCCAAAGGTCTGTGGGCCACGTCCATGCTGAGACCTATATGCACCTAGGCCAACTCTTAAGTCTTTTCTTACTATCCTCATGAACAGTGTGAAAATCAGAGGCCGGCTCCAAAGAACAAGGTCAGTAAGTGAGCTTTCCCAGCTACAGAGGTACGCAGTCTGTGCTTTTTAAACTGCCTCATTTGTTTGATTTTCCTCCTTTCATGGATCTCTTCTTCATTTCCATTATTATGAGGAAACCAACATCGTTTTTTCTCCAAAGCCAACAAATGCTTTCAGTACAGAATTCCCTGTACATGCTTTATAGATTTTCTTCATAGTTAAAAAAAAAAAAAAGTACTGCGGATTTAGATGCATATAAACCCACATATGTGTTCTTAGCAGGAACTATCTCCATCCACACTGACTTTAGACTCTTTCTGATTTTATTAGACAAAGACACGACGTCTCAAGGAAAAAGAGGTGTTATCCAGGAGCCCGCGCAGCGTGCCTGTGGCTCATCGGCCGCGTCCCTGATCTGGGGCAGGAAGGACCAAGGATGAGAGCAGCCCTGTCTGTGCAGAACAGGGCTTGCGGGGCCTGGGAGCCCCTGTTGCTGTGATTCTGCCCTTTCATACTCCAGGCCGGCATCATTCTTCCAGAAGAACGTACACCAGCGATGTATGTGCTCACATTCAGGAAACGCTTATACACATTAAGCCAAATTCAGCAAAGGCCACCTCCTCACCTGGAGGAGAAAGCAGGGACAGGGACCAGGTGCCGCCGGGGTCAGAGCCCATCTCCCTTCAGCCACCGCCTGCCCCACCCCAGAACCTGATTTCAGACCCTTCCATCTGGAAGGTTCTTCTGCTGTATTTGGTGCCAGATCACAACCAACAATCAATTTCCAACCAAACTGATCAATCAGTCAAAGCAAAGCGATCTACAAAAACCACAGTGAAAGAGAGAGGAGGGAAAAGGGTAGCCGTGGGGGACCTAAATTCTCATTAACTTGACTGTGAATGGACAGCATGTAAGTACTGGGCATAAGAACATCACAGGGGAAGACAAAGGTGAGGAACTGCTTCCAAGATGCTCCCGTACCTAATTCATCTCTCAGCCAGGATGGCGCTGGGGCACGGTGCTGGGTAGCTGGAGTGACAAGAGGAGAAAAGAATGCGGCTGCCCTGGATGGCCTTAGAGATAAGCTGTTAGCTTAAAAACAAAGACTCCTGAAATTTAATTTACATATATTCTCCTGTAACATACAAGAAGCTATGAAGGATGGAAAGACCTCCCCAGGTTCCCCCACATTTAATGGGGGACGGAGTCCTGTTCCCTCTGGGCTTCCTTAAGTCACTGCTGTGCCCACACCGAATCCATCGCTGCCTTACCTGGGGTGACGGCTGAGTGGCCAGGTGATGGACATCTCCCCTCTCCTGAGCCAGCTGATTTCTAGCGGTGAGCGCGTCCTGGGTTGGCGCTGGTTCTGGCACTGAGCTGTTGAGTCTCGATAAGTCAGTAGTTTCTGTAAAGTTTTCAGGATGAGCTTGAATTGGAACTGCTCCACCAACCAGACCCCGACTACTGTGTGAGTCCAAGGATGCTGAACTTGCACTCTCTGGATTGAGAGAGTGAACGTCTTCTCCAGGGAGCTCAGGATAAGAATCGCAAGAAGAGATGTCGTCACCACAGCTGGGATTTTGCATCAGAGGCCAGGCGTCCGAAAACTCGCCACAGATGGACCTCGAAAGGGGCCCAGAGAAAGTCGGCACTGCTTGCCCCGCTGGACCTGTGTTTCTGGACACGTGTTCGAAAGAGCTGTAAGTACTCTACCGGGAGAAAAACCTACTACAAAGCAACGTTCCAGCTATGCTTTTCAGTTTTCTAGATGAAATAAACAACAAGTTATTGAGTCAGAATTCTCATGCTTCCTTTGTTATAAACTTGCTTCAGTACAGTAAGTTAAATTACTACGTTTACTTTAAAACCGAATTTTTATACCTACTTCTAACCAATATAGTTAAACTTAATCCGATGTCTAAAATAGGCAGTTTCCTGGGTCTTAATTGAGTTCCTTTGATTGCTGTTCTAAAGTTCTCTGAGTATGTGACATGCTAAAAATTACTTACAGATGATGGAAGTGTCACAAATCATGAATATAAGACAAAAACAAAATTAGTGGAATATAAAGAATAAAGAATGTTACACTGGCTATCAGTAACCCTGAGACACTTACCTAATTCTCGCCAAAGTTCCCACCCCCTACAATGTCTAGAATGTTATTAATAATACTAAAAAAGTGATGTCCCATAGTTTCACATGAAAATTGGTAAATGAGTAGCCTGTATATTTGCACGCGGGAACACGAAATTATATACATTAAAAACACCCATTTACCTGTCCTGAAGAATGGCCTTGGAGTGCACCCTACAAGCAGGAGTCTCCCGGCCGACGCTGCAGGCCCCGGCACAGCACGGGGATGGGATGAGATGCACGGGCCCTAGGAAAGCCGGCAGGGCTGTGAGGCGCAGTGCTTGTTTATACCAGTTCAGCACTGCTCTCGAAAATTTAGCTATTCCCCTTTGGGTGACTTTCAGGGGGAAAGGGGTTATGAGGTTTAATTTTTTCTCTTTTTTCTTATCTTAAAAATGATGGACCACTTCTATGAAGGACCCGGAAGAGTCAAATTCCTGGAGACAGAGAGTAGGATGGTGGGTCCCAGGGGCTGGAGGGCAGGAAGAATAGGGGGTGAGTGTTTAAAGGGGACAGGGTTTCAGTTTCGGGTCGTGGAGAAGTTCTGGGGATGGTGGTGATGGTTGCACAACAGTGTGAACGTGCTTAATGCCCCCCAACTGTACACTGAGAAACGGCTAAAACGGTAAATTTAAGGTGATGCCTATTTTACTACAATGTAAATAAGGATGTAGAGGAATGATGAGAGGGCACGTGAAATGAGACTTTCACCCATGGCTGACGCGGGCTGAAAGAGCACAGGGCTTCTGCGGAGTGGGCTAGCCATGCAGCGCAGAACATAAACGTCTAAACCCTTTAACTCCACACACACACAACTTTTTGTTTTTTTTTTTACTGCTAGGAATGTATCTTAAAGAATAACTATCTCTGTGCACACAGCTTTGCAAACTATTACGTTCACTGAAGCGGTATGTATTTTTGGTTACAAAGATAATACACATTCACTGAAGAAAAAAACTTTCACAATAGAGATTAGATCAGAAATTTAAAAATGAATCTTCCTTAATTCCATAAGCTGCAAGACACTGTCCACATTTCTTTTTTTTTTTTTTCCTTGCGTTATGCGGGCCTCTCACTGTTGTGGCCTCTCCCATTTGCGGAGCACAGGCTCCGGACGCGCAGGCTCAGCGGCCATGGCTCACGGGCCCAGCCGCTCCGCGGCATGTGGGATCTTCCCGAAACGGGGCACGAACCCGCGTCTCCTGCATCGGCAGGCGGACTCTCAAGCACTGCGCCACCAGGGAAGCCCTGTCCACATTTCTGAACAGCCTTCTAGACTTCTCTCTCTACATATACAGACATATGTCATTCTGATTTTATAAAACTATAAATATAGTAAAACATACAGACAAAATTAGGAAATTAGCAGTAATCATGCTGTTGTGTAAGAGAACATTCTTGTTCTTAGGAAACAAGCACTGAAGTAAAGGGACAGATTTTTCTCTTTTTTTGGCTGCACCGCACAGCCTGTGGGATCTCAGTTTGCCAACCAGGGACTGAACCCAGGCCACGGCAGTGAAAGCCCAGAATCCTAACCGCTAGGCCACCAGTGAACTCCCTGCAACTGATTTTTAAATGGAAATTTAAAAACTGTGTACATGTCTATGTAAAGCACACAGTTGGCCCTTGAACAACGTAGATTTGCACTGTGCGGGTGCACGTATTGGAGGATTTTCCTCAACAGTAAATACTACAGTGCCACACGATCAGCAGGTATTTGGTTCCAAGGATGCAGGACCACGGATACGGAGAAACCGTGAACACAGAGAAGCCGCAGATACAGAGGGCCAACTATAAGTTACAAGTTGATTTTTGACTGGGCGGAGAGTGGGTGCCCCTAATCCCCAAGTTGTTCAAGGGTCGACTGTACACCCACCATACTTAGAAAGAGATAAAAATGATAAAGCAAATGTGGAAATGAGATAAAATGTTAATACTGGGGGAATCTAGGTACAGGGTATGTGGGAATTCTTTGTCCTGCTCTTTCAACATTTTTGTAAGTCTGAAATTATGTCCAAATAAAAGTGAAAAGAAAATAGGCACTGTCACTAAGGAAGAAGCAATTTATATGACGAGCGACACTGAACCTGGGCGGGTGACAGCGGGGGCGGATGCTGTCCAGTCTCTGCGTTCTATTACAAGAACGTGCAACAAAGCCATCCGTGTATTTAATCTTTCTTTCCAGATAGAAGTGACGATGAGGCAGAGTTTGCACAAAGCTGAACTTGATCACACTTCAGACCCAAGTTTCTCTCTCAAGCAATCCTCTTTGCTAACTCTGATCTAGGGGCAGTGCCTGGCACAGCATCTAGAAAATGCAGTGCTTGGGCCGCCTTGAGAAGCACCAAGGCATCAGTGCTGTCAGGAGCTGAGTCAACGATCTCTGCAGGCAAAGGCAAAACCAGATCCACGCATGCTATGGAAATCCCACGTTTTATTCTTAACCCTAAAGCAGAAGACAGTAGTGGCCAGTAGAGAAATAATTACGTTGAAGACGCCTTATCCCACGGATTAAATATTAGACTGAAAAGCTGAACCCTTCAATTTCTTGAAAAGAAAGATCGGACAGTTCTGAGACAATAAGCAATTGAATTGGGAAATGTTTAACTTCAAGGAAGGTTACAGGAGACAAAATGCTGCTGCGCTATTGCAACCACAGGTGCCGGGGGACCTGTGAGGGGTGGATGGGGCAGGTGGCGGGCAGGCTTCCGGAAGGGCTGCGGCCGCGTCGATTTTTACTTTGCAGAGGAGGTGAGTTTGTGGGGACAGGGGCAGGAAGTGTGCCAGCTGGTGTGACCTTGGCCCGTTTTTGCCCACGTTAGAAACCAAGTCCGTCTGAATCACAGGCAGACGCGGCTGTGTCGTGCCTCACAGTTATTGCTTTTTCCCAAAGTGAAGGTTTGTGGCCACCTTGCGTCGGGCAGGTCTATCGACAGCATTTTTCCTACAGCATCTCCTCACTTTGTGTCTGTGTCCCATTTTGGTAATTCTCACAATATTTCGAATTTTTCATTATTTTTTCATTATTATTATATTTGTTCTGCTGATCTGTGATCAGGGATCTCTGATGTTACTACTATACTCGCTGAAGGCTCAGATGACGGTTAGCATTTTTCAGCAATAAAGTATTTTTAAATTAAGGTGTAGACATTATCTTTTTAGACATAATGCTGTTGCACACTTAATAGACTACAGTACAGTGCAAACATAACCGTTATATGCACTGGGAACCCCCAAAATATCACGTGACTCGCTTTATTGCAATATTCACTTTATTGCAGTGGTCTGGAACCGAACCCACAGTATCTCCGGGGTCTGCCTGGACTTCCCTAAACTTTCACTCCTGTCAATAACCCCAGAGGCAATTATGGTTTGTGGAAAACCCTGCAATAGGTCTCCCTCCTCCCCCTTCTTTAAGATATCCCCAAACACACTAAGACACTTACATGCAGGTTCAGGTGGAATCCACCAGACAGGAAAGGAGATGGATCCCCTGCTCTACAAAAGGCTCATATTACTTTAAATCAATTCACCCCCAAATAAAGGCAAACTTGCTTAAAAAGTTACTGAGAAATTCTAGAATTTTAATGAGATGCTTCTTTTCTGTTAAATACTTAAGAGACACAAAACACCCAAAACATCAGGGGATGGGGGAGAACGACTGAACTAGACTAGCTTTAGCTAGAAAACTGAGTGGGAGCCGTTCTTTGCAGCTTCAGGGCCTGCATTCCTAGTGGCCCCCAAGCGCTGAACTTACCGCAGGTCTGGGCCGAGTCCCGGTGGCACTGACAACAGGCGTGGGGTGCAGGGCCGCTGAGCCGAGGTCTGTCGAAACAGGACAGTTCAGAACCGTTGTACTGCAGGTCCTGTGCCCTCAGGGACCCTGCGGAGGCCGAGAACTCGGTCAGCAAGACAGCTTCCCCAGGAGGAGCCCACAAACATCCCAGGGCAACCAGAACTACCCCAGCTTTTGCAGTTATAAAGGAAAGGAGAGCTGTCGTTCACATTTAAAAATACTTCTTACACGGAAGCAAAGATATGAAACAATCGGTCAAGACAGCTCGAGGTGTAAGGTACTTGTGTGGCCAGAACTCGGACGAGCTGTGTTTCTGCCGAGGGGCGGGGGTACCCCTGCCTCCTCAGGTCCGCGGGGAAGTGATGCTGCCCGGTGGCCGCGCCCTCAGCACCTTTTGGCAGGATGCCTCTTGGGGAGCAGGCCCCTGGGACGCCTGTTTCCACGTGCTCTCTCTGTCCCTTTGGCTGCAACCTGACTCTCCTCTTAGGTTCTCATCGAACACCCGGATGGCAGTGATGACCAACACCCTTCACCAAGATGCTAAGACACAGAAAGAGCTCAGAACTCACAGCTGGGTTTCTTCTCCATAAACTGCCGCTTACAGTATATGACGCAGAGGATGAGCAGGGCCAGCAGGACGGTGGCCAGGGCGCTGCAGATCACGGCAGCCAGGGCCGTGTCCCGTGGGCTGGAGGCCGTGGACGGGATCCTTACCAGGTTGACCTTGCTGGTACCTGAAAACCACAGGGATGGAATCAGCACATCTCGACCACCCAAGGGACTCAGGTGCTCACACTGAACTCGGGGTCCCCTGCAGCAGTGGCCTTCATGCAACATCAATGAGGCCAGGGGGAGGTGTTCTAGAGGGCTCAGACTCTCCCTCCGCCCGGGAGATCGCTTGAATACCGCACCTCTCCCTGCGACTCTCCTGTTCCCATGACACCAACCACGCGCAGCCCCGACACGTGTGCTGTCGGGCCCGTTGGACCAGAGCCATCTGCGAGTTGGGAATCTGTCACCTTGTTCTTCCTCCCCAGCACTTGGCAGTGTGGGCCACAGAGCAAGCACTCGATATGCGTTCTTTAATTGGAATTAGACCTTCTGCACTTTTAAGCAGGCTGAACTAAAGTATGCTTTGGGGGTCAACTTTAGGGGAAAACCAGGACTTGGATCATTCACAACCTCACAGTAGGCCCCCAATTTCTGAGACAGTGAACATTTTTTAACGCCTTAGCTGTTAAATTACTGAACAACACCTAAGTCTTGGAGGAAAAAAAAAAACGAACACTGTTGTGACCTCAGATGTGGACAAAGCACATCTTGAGGGCCGTTTGCCCCTGCGGCTCACGGTGATGGTAATGGACTTGGCAGCCCTAGAGATGACAGGTTGGTGTCTGCATCTGTGCTGCACACGGCACAAAAGGCCACCTGGTACTTTCTCCCCACCCCTGACTGCACAGGCCCCACCCCCATCCCAACCCCTGAAGCCTGGTTTCCACTGTACGACCCCTGAGGCTAGAGTCAGAGAGAAACTTCAGGGTTGATATTATTGAATCATAAAACTACGACCGCAGGAGCGATCGTTTTGGAATGTTGAATCTTGGTGTATTTACACTCAGTGATTCTGGGCCGCCCTCATACACGTTTCTTATTGCCACTGGGAAAGGCACATAAACCATATATGCCTTGGACCTGGATGAATAAGAATCTTAATCCAATCATACATTTTGAAGGATATTTGTTTGTAAACATGTTTTAATATTCATAAACAAATAGCGCTTCTAGCTACGTAGACATACTGTTATAATCAAATCGCACACGTTAGATGTTCATCACACAGCAAGTTAAATAGATTACACCTCTGACCTGATAGAGATGAAATCGAAACCTGAAACAGCCTCTGTCAGTGGACAAATTCACAAGAGGACGTATGAACACAAGCACAGCTGTGCAAACACTGGTAAGTAAATACACGGGTAGGAATTTATATCGAATGCAAGTAAAACCGTGGGCTACGCTTGGGAAACATTAAGTATTACCTATTGCGACCAACTGGTGAAGTTGGTTTATGTTTGTGAGAAAGTGGTTTAGTTCAGAGTGAGATCAGGCCCCTTAGCTGAAACTTTCCACCAAATAACCAAGCTTTAGTCAATACCAGGCTTTAGCAGAACTGTTATCAAAATGAGACTGAATACATTATTTGAGTCGAAGATAAAGTTCCTAACTACGATGTAAGGATTAAGTTAAACTCATTGATCAATGGAGTATTAGATAGTCGGAAAAACCCTACGAGGAACCAGGAATTCAGGTTAAAGCAGAACAAGATTAGAGTCTTCTGGGTTCTTATTGTTTAAAACCTTTCTAAAATGGATTAGTCAACTTCCTTGCCTTCATAGAAAAGGAACTGTTTCTAACATAAATAAGCTGAAATGCCCTCAAATGGGTATTATATTTTTAATTTGGTGGTTTGTGACTCAGGGTTTATTTTCCCCAAGCCAATCAGAAAAGTCTTGGTAACACATTATCTTTCCAAGGAAGGGCACTAATACTGTGATATCAGTGCTACTGAGTTGTCATAATAACATCCATTTTAAACATAATTACACCAAATAAGCTATTTCTCTATGCATTTCCCAGGCAGGAGCATCTGAAGATGAACAAGAAAAATACAGACATTTCACCTCTCAGTTTTTGACACCTACATACGAAAAGGCATCTTGTTAACGCAAATACCCCTCCCAAGAGTCCCCATGGGAAGCACGCTCCGAAAGCCACATTCTTTATTCTTGTTTATATGGACAAGTTTATGACAACCCTGACAGCAAACACCATGTTTTTTTTTGTTTTTTGTTTTTTGTTTTTTTAATGGGAAATGGGTTCATCATTCTCAAGTTTGTCACATCAGCAATGCAGACATAACTACAGAAGCTATGAGAGACTGGGCCGAATATCAGTAGATTTTAGAACCACCCTCAGAAACTCATTCACATCCGTTCCCGATAAAAGCCTATTTTCTTCTCATTCTTTTGACTTGAGCAGTAAAAACAGAGGGGAGGGAGCCGTACCAGCTGTATGAAGTGGCTTCTACCCTACTAAGTTCTGGCTCAGAAAAGGACTTACTGACTACAAACCAAGAAAGATTGCTTCTCTGACCTGTCGTTGCTGCCATGATACTGAGATTCAAGATTCTTTCCACCCACGGCTTTAACTCAATTCCCTGGCCAAGCACCTCGATGCCTACATGGCATCTCACCCTCACCCTGCTAGGATCCTGAGGGTACTTCCAAGGAACCAGGAATAGGACTACCCGTATTCTCTGGAAGGTTCTAACTTTTCTGGAACACAAAGGCGTGTCTTACCCTCACCAATTAAGTTATCAGATTCCTCCCTGATCTCAGCACTACCCTTTGGCAAAGTTACTTCAGAGTGACAGCTGTTTCTTCGCTTAAATTTTACGTTACAGGACACACTGTACGTGGGTTCAGTTCCACACTGAACATTTCAGTGGGCTCAGCTCAGCTGGACGATGATGTACTGAGTGTCTGTAGTGACTAAGACGTCTCAGTCCTACAAGGCACGACGTTTGCTGAGTGAGGATCTGAACAGATGAGAACACGGGGGTCACCTGCAAGGCCTGGCAAGTGTTTCTATAAGGCCTGCTCCCCCCTTTGGAGTGGGACAAGGTGAGCGATTCCGAGTAGCTAAGACGCCCTCCTTGCACCTCAGCCTCTAAAGAGCTTTGGAACGTGGCTGGGGAGACGTGTGTGTTGGGGGGATTTGTTGCCGGGCTCCGACGGCTTTCGGGAAAGTCCGAGGAAGAGCTCAGGCCGGAGTGGACCTTGGTGTGCTTTCCGCCACCTGATGCTGACACGCACCTCCGGTGACCCCACCCTCCTGACGATGGGGTGAAGTCCGTTGACCACCCTCTATTTATAGAGGAGAAAACCCAGACTTTGAGGGACTTGCTCAAGGTCACACAGCAACATGCAGGCAGCTTGAGAACCGGAACCTGGCCTTCGGATCCTTTCCGGTGGACCACCCTGTCCAGGGATGCAGGTAAAACATCTGTCAGGTAACGATGAGCAGAATGTGGCTCATCTCTGTGGGGAGAAGCTGGCCGGGCCCCAGAGAGACCACGGGCCTCCTGATCACAGACCCGTCCACGTGTCCAGGTGTGCAGGTGTCCAGGTGTGCATGGAAGCTGGTTCCACTTGAGGGCCTCTGGCCCAGCGTGGATCTCAGTGTCGCGTGATGAGCTGGGCAGAGGGGAAACTCTACGGAGGAGCTTGAGTCTGGAATGGATTCGAGGGCGAGATGGCAGGAGGAGCAGTGCCCAGACGCCCTCCACTAGTAACTGCAGCTCTGCTTCCTCTCGAGCCCCCTGCTTGTTCAACCTCACGCCTGAGTAGAGGCTGTGTTTAAAAACCTGCTCAACAAAAGCTCCCTCTTCCCAGAGCCCCCTCTCCACAGAGGGTGCTAAACAGGGAGGACGGAACGGGTTGGCACCATCTGGCCCCTCCCTGAACTGTGTTTAAAAACCTGCTGAACAAAAGCTCCCTCTTCCCAGAGCCCCCTCTCCACAGAGGGTGCTAAACAGGGAGGACGGAACGGGTTGGCACCATCTGGCCCCTCCCTGAACCTCAGCCTCCCCAGGGACGATTACACAGGGGCTCATATGTGGCACCGAGATCCACCGCGAGGGGCCATGAGAACTTCTCTCCGGGCGGAACGAACTTCCATGCACACCTGCACACCCGGACAGGTCTGCGGTCAGGAGCCCGTGACCTCCCTGCGGCCTGGCCGGCTTCTCCCCACGGAGATGAGCGTGGTCTTTACAGTAAAGAACAGGATTACGTCAGACGCTGCGTGTCACTTCCCTGAACTTCACATTCCCAGTCCAAGCTGCTTTCTCACCTCCGGAGTCACAGACCCAACAGCCAGCTGGACGTCGCCACGTGGACGGGGAAGCACCTTAAGCCCAGCATATCCAAAAATGAGCTCCCCACCACCCCGACCCACCCTCTTCCCAGCACCCGCCCTGCGCCCCACGCATCTCTCCTCCCTGCCATGGCCTCGGCCTGCAGCACCCTCCCCGGGCTGCGAGCATCGCCCCTCCACTGCTGTAGCTCTTTCCTCAAGTGTCACCTACTCAGTGAGGCTTCTCTGACGAAATCCTTAAAACTGTCACCTCTCTCCAATGCCCCCCAGCTTTCCTTTCCTCCCCCAGCACTTGCCACCATCTGACATTTCATATACTTAACTTGGGTGCTTCCTTGCCATTCTCCCCTGTGGTGGGAGCAGTACAGCCCACTCTGCTCCCCCAAACCCACCCCCCTGCCTTGTGTTGAAGCTGGTCCAGCAAGAGGCAACATTTCCCAGCCTCCTTTGTAGCCCAGTGTGATACGTCCAAATCAGAGTCAAGGGGGCCCGGGAGGATGAGCAGAAGGGATGGGGTGGCATCTGTGTCACCTGCACTTTAGGGACAAATTACTCCAGAGTCCCCTTCACTGGGGCTGGAGCTGCATGTAGCAGCAGCCCAGTCTGGATCCTATGGGTGAGGAGGACAGATGAGGAAGCCACCCAAAGGCTGGTAAAGCAGCAGGGGCCAGACACTGGGCCTCTGAAGACACCTGCAGCACAGCTGCTCCACCAGCGGCACCACCTGCACGGTTACAGAACAGAGAGGACCTGCTGTCTTCTAGAGGCTGCACTACTGGGGGGCTTCCTGGTTACA